GCTCCCCATGTTGACTTAGGGGTCCCCATGGTGGCCTAGGGGTCCCCAAAGAGGACTTATGGATCCCCAGGAGATATCTATGGGGTCCCAACAGCCCCACACATCCTCACGTTGACCTAGAGCTCCCCAAAGAGAACCTATGGGTCCCTGAAGACATCTATGGGTCCCCAAAGAGGTCCTACAGCTCCCCATGAGATGTCTATGGGGTCCCAACAGCCCCACACATCCCCTCGTTGACCTAGAGCTCCCCATGTTGACTTAGGGGTCCCCAAAGAGGACTTATGGGTCCCCAGGAGATGTCTATGGGGTCCCCACAGCCCCACACATCCTCATGTTGACCTAGGGCTCCCCATGGTGGTCTAGAGTTCCCCAAAGAGGACCTATGGGTCCCCAAGGACATCTATGGGGCCCTCAAAGAGATCTATGGGTCCCCAAGGATGTCTACAAGGTCCTCACATTGCCCCACACATCTCCATGCTGACTTAGGGGTCCCCAAAGAGGACCTATGGGTCCCCGAGGACATCTATGGGGTCCCCAAAGAGGATCTATGGGGCCCTGAGGACGTCTATGGGTCCCCAAAGAGGTCCTACAGGTCCCCATGAGATGTCCACGAAGTCCTCACATTGCCCCACACATCCTCTCGTTGACCTAGAGCTCCCCACGTTGACCTAGAGCTCCCCAAAGAAGACCTATGGGTCCCCGGGAGATGTCTATGGGGTTCCCCACAGCCCCACACATCCCCTCGTTGTTGACCTAGAGCTCCCCGACGAAACCCCCCCCAGCTCCTCACCTGGTGTCCACGGAGAACCCACCTTCTCCCCGATGTCCTCGTTGGGGGTCCCAGCAGGCCCCCAGCCCCCCTTTTTTTGTTTTTTTTTACCCCGTGGTGGGTCCCCCGGGGGGCGCCCCCCCCCAGCCCTCCAAGTAACGGGCGAAGAGCCCCTTGGCGCGGCGCAGGACGCGGGGCAGGTGGTGACGTCGCACCAGGCGGTCGAAGTGCATGGCCACCTCGTTGTAGTCACCGGCCCGCGCCATGACGGCCTCCCGTTGCTCCAAGAGCATGGCCAAGCAGAGGAAGAGGAGGAAGGGGTTCCCCTGCCCCAACTCCTCGGGGGGCGGGAGAGGCGCCCCGTCGTCCTCCAGACCCACCTCTTCCTCTTCCGAGGAGGAGGAGGAGGAAGAGGAAGAGGAGGAAGAGTCTTCCCAAGCCCAACCGCCTCCCCAAGGGTCTTCGGTGGCCTCCCCACCCGCGCTGGGGTGGTCACGTACCTCTTGGGGGTCTTCACCCACCTCGTTGGGGGAGCTGGGGGGGTTGTCAAGCTCCTTGAAGGCATCACCGACCCCTTTGGGGTCTTCACTAACCTCCTTGAAGGCATCACCAACCTCTTTGGGGTCTTCACCAACCTCCTTGAAGGCATCACCGACCTCCTTGAAGGCATCACCAACCTCTTTGGGGTCTTCACCAACCTCCTTGAAGGCATCACCGACCTCCTTGAAGGCATCACCAACCTCTTTGGGGTCTTCGTTGATCTCTTTGGGGTCTTCGTTGACCTTTCTGGGGTCTTCGTTGACCTCTTTGGGGTCTTCATCAACCTTTCTGGGGTCTTCATTGACCTCTTTGGGGTCTTCACCAACCTTTCTGGGGTCTTCGTTGACCTCTTTGGGGTCTTCATCAACCTTTCTGGGGTCTTCATTGACCTCTTTGGGGTCTTCACCAACCTTTCTGGGGTCTTCGTTGACCTCTTTGGGGCCCTCGTTGACCTTTCTGTGGTCTTTGTTGACCTCTTTGGGGTCTTCACCGACCTTTCTGGGGTCTCTGTTGAGCTCTTTGGGGTCCTCGTTGACCTCTTTGGCCACGTTGGGGTCTCCACCAACCTTCTTGGAAAGGCCACGGTCATCGCCCACCTTCTCCGGGGTCTTCAGGTCTTGGCGGAGCTTCTTGGAGACCCGGCGACCTTTACGAACCTTCTTGGGGACGTCGGGGTCAGCGCCCACGTGGGGACCTTTGTCAGCTTTGGGGGAGACATCAGGGTCTCCACAAACCACCTTGGAGATGCTCGGTCGTTGGCCAATCTCCTTGAGGTTGACCTTCTTGGGAACGCCAAGGTCTTGGCCAACCTCCTTAGAGACGTTGGGATCTTCTCCAACGGCCTTGGGGCCGTCACGCTCTTGCCCACCAGCGTTGGAGGCCCTGGGGACCTTAGTGCCACCACGGACCTCCCCGGGGACCTTAAGGCCTCCCTGGCCACCCCCAGGGACCTTGGCACCACCGTGGACATCCAGGGAGGTCTTTGGGTCCTTCTGGGAGCCACCAGGACTCCGTTGGCCATCCCTGAAGACCTCAAGCTTCTCTCGTCTCTTGGATCCACCTTGGATGTCACCAGAGCTCTTGAGATCCTCCTGGTCATCCCCGAAGCTCTTGGGACTCTCCTGGACGTTCCTGGAGCTCTCTTGGAGATCGTTGGAGCTCTCTTGGAGATCGTTGGAGCTCTTGAGATCCTCCTGGCCAACCCCAAAGCTCTTGGGACTCTCCTGGACGTTCCTGGAGCTCTCTTGGAGATGGTTGGAGCTCTTTGGTTTCTCTTGGTCATCGCCGGAGCTTGTAGGAACCTCCGTGGATCCTTTGGAACCATCTTGGCCTTCACCAGAATTTCCAGAACCCTCTTGACCATCCCCACAACCCTGTTGGTGGCCACCTCGCCCACCGGTGGCCGCCGCCTCTTCCTCCTGCCGTCGACGATGGCGGCGCGGGGGCCGCGGCCGTAACCCCCTCCTCTCCCGTAGCCCTCGTCCGGCCCGACGAGGTCCTAGGGGAGCCCCCAAAAGTGGGACACCCTCCGGTGGGGGCGGCGGGGCTGGAGGTAACGAGCTCCAAGTGATCTCCAAGACCCGAAGAGCGTCTTCGAAGGCGAATTCCCTCTTGAGCTCCAAGAGCAACCAACGGTAACAAAAGAGAAGATCGTGGGCGCCGCGGGCGGCCAAAAAAGCCCAAAAAGGAGGGTCGGCGCGACGTAAAAGACGACGAAGATGAGCGAAAGCACGAGCTAAACCTCGTCCTCCGGGTCGGAAACGAGGCCCCAAGCGTTTCATGAGGGAACAGAAACAAAGAAAAGCTTGAGCTTCGTCATCCAAAACGGCCAACAAAGGGGCGGCCACGTCGGACATGCCCTGGCAGTAAGAAAGTCGAGGGTGGCCCAAAGCGAAGGTGGTGAGGAGAGCTTGGAGGGCGGCCAAATGGGGGTGTCCTTCTTCGGGTCCCCCGAAATAAGGGTGTCCCCGATCGGTTCGGACGACGTCTTTTCGCACGGCGGCGCCCACCAGAGCCAGCTCGGCCGGAGCCGCTCGAGAAGCCAAAAGGGATTTTAAAGAAGAATATTCGGCGGCTTTTCGACGGAGGTGAGAGAGACGTTCCTGGCCCGACAGCCCTGCGGGGAACACGTTGAGGAGGTAACGCCACACCACCTGGGGGGGGAGGGGGGGAAAAAAGGGGTGAAATGAGGGAGGGGGGGAAAAAAAGGGGAGAAAAAAGTAAAGGGGAAAGAGGGGAGGGAAAGGGGAGGAAAGAAAAGGGAAGAGGAAAAGGGGAGAGAAGAAAAGGAAGGAGAAGAAAAGGGGAGAGAAGAAAAGGGGAAAAGGGAAAAAGAAAAGGGAAAAGGAAATGGGGAGAGAAAAAAGGGGAGAAAAGGAAAAGGAGAGAAGAAAAGGGGAGAGAAGAAAAGGGAAAAGAAAAAGGGGAGAGAAGAAAAGGGAAAAGAAAAGGGGAGAGAAGAAAAGGGGAGAGAAGAAAAGGGAAAAGGAAAAGGAAAAGGAAAAGGAAAAGGAAAAGGAAAAGGAAAAGGAAAAGGAGAGAGAAGAAAAGGGA